GCTTATATGTATGTTGGGATCAATAGATTATTTTTTTTCCTATTTGCCTATTTTTTTTTTTTTTTTTGTGCTATAAAAATTCATGTGATATTATAAGTATGTCCATTGTATATGAGATGAAGATTATATACAAAAATGGTAGAAATATTGGGTATATATTATTGATGCTACATAGCTCAACTTATGATCATCTTTATAATATGGTTGGATGAGAAGATAGAATTGTGCAATTATGAAAATGTTGAAGTATTATTTAAAGAATATTTATCTATCCAAATGTATAAGATTCAACTGAATATTAATAGTCCTAGAAGGACACTAATATTTAAACAACGATGGATAGAATAATTAAAACAATGCATCATTTATATAAGATGTCAATCAATATTTCATTTATCGATAGCTGGTAAGTTGACGATGAAGTTCTTATACACTCCCTGAAGGATCTTCTATAAGTTAACAATAATGTTTTTATATACTCCACCGATGTAAGTATCTCCCATAATTTACAATAAAATTTTGATATCCCTGAAGGATCAACACCGATACAAGTATCAAAATAAAAGAATGACTACATTGTGAGTAAGTCTTGATGACTAATTTTGAATTATGATGCTATCCAATATTTTATGATTTGTTATGAACATTTTGTATTCCTGAAGTAATACATGAGAATAATGAAATTCAACCAAATCAATACTCATGGACACAATATATTACGAATAGTGATATAAAAGTAGTTTATTAGATTGTATTAGTGCCAGAAGCACATATACAAAAGTATAATGTTTTTTTATGTGATATATTATAGAAAATTATCTATCTTCTATAAGACTGTATATTTCCTTGATTTAATTGTCCTTATTTGTAATGAGCATCTTTTGTTTGATATGTACCGCATCATTCTTCACATTATTTGTTAAGATTTGAAAGTGGTAATGAACGTAAGATATGTGTAGCAGACATTATCCTCTGGGCAAGGATTATTTTCGATGATGAATGAGAAAAAAATATTATATATCTTATGTAATGAAATCTCTCATACTTCAATTGTAATACTCTTGAAGAGTTATAAAATAAAAATGTCCACATATATTATTTATTTGTTCATGCATCTGATTACGCATGAAGCATATGTGGATTAACTTTAACATGCGAATTGTGTATGTTGCTTGAATATATATGGTGAAGTTATCAAAATATGCAATTACGACATGAATTTAGTTTGGAAATGATAGTTGCATAATACGGATGTGATCCAAATTTATTGAGCCTAAATCAATTTGATTATCTTGAACTTTACTCTAATTGAGTAATGAACCAAATGAATGGTATGCAACTTGTATAGTTATTTTTTTACTGCTGTCATAAATTGCAGAGCAAATGTCCTGTTGAATTTTATTCTTATAGATATGAGTTTCTTTGAAGGATTATATAATTAAAAGTATCACTAATGAATTTAAATATCGACTTAGATTTGGTTATCCCTGAAGGATTGGTCCTGTTGACTAGTATCATAATTGCATAATAATTATCAAGCGAGTATCTTTGAAAGATTGATCTAGTAAATAATCCCGTTGATTTTTGGATAAATTCATGATCTTTTGATTTTAGATCAGCTCTGCATATTCAATATACCCTTAATGAAGTTATGTAACCAGAATGTTACATAGATTGAATCTATACACAAGTATTCTGAAATTATTTATGTTTGCTTGTATATTTGATAAGAAGCATGCCACTGACTTATATTGTTGATAGCTACAATATTAAATTTATATGTGGTGCTTGAAGCACATAATATAGTTGATAGCTAAAATAAAAGGCACACAATCAAAGTTTAATTGTAGTGCCTGAAGCATATAGTGTTCACTTATCAATGAATTATTATACTTCGATGCCCAATCTATATATTTGATAATTAGCATGAGCAGTTGGATCTTATTGGGCAATTATTTCTAATAATTTCTCCTTAAAATGCATGGAGAATTCAACATTTTCCATCTGCAATTTATTAATCTTCTATCACCACCAATTCGTATCTTTATGGGTCTATATTACAAAATAGGTATGCTATGATTTTTATACTCCGTCGATTTTTAATACCTTGAGGCCATTATAAGGGATCAATTTATTATTTGGTACGTGTTTTGCATAATATATGAGATGATTTCACGACATTAGGGGGAGATATGAACATTAGTTTATTAAAAGCCGTGAAATATGTGAAATATTAATGTTTTCATTATTTGAAACCACGCAATAGAATTGAGCTTGAAGTTCATATTATATTTCTGCCAAGAGAAATCTATAATAATAATGGAATGACCAATTTGTAAATATATAGATGTAGCACAAAGTAAGCAGATTCCCTAGGGAATGATTGACTCCATAATGCTTGAAGCAGAAGGTGATATAATTAATATGATGTATGAAAGTCCGCGTAAAATGTATATTCAAGAATTAACACTCCATTATAAGAAACTCCTGAAGAGTTGATCCAGTACATCTTGCACGTGCATCAAACCATTATAGTACTAGAAATGCGGAATGACCAAAATTAGATGTTATGGGAAACGATTATAAATATGGCTAGTAAATATGAAGTTGCATATATGGTTGAGAGATAAATATAAGTTGAATATCATAGTTGTCGACAATACTTGCCTATGTGATTTCTTTACTATCTCAAATAATGATCCGGATCAAAATAACGAAAGTGCTAGAATCGCTTAGGTTGATTGAGATAGAAAGGAAAATTGAGGCCGAGCTTTTACTCGCTAACCGATATATCCCAGGAGGATAGCATATCCCAGAAGGATGATGAATATTTATATGAAACATTAGATTATGCTCATGGGTTTACGCAGAGACCCAAATATTTATTTAGATAAGTTCTCTCATTATCGATGATTCCACAAGTTAATATTTATGGCAGCAATATTACCATGACTATTGAGTCATATGTGAAAGTCCTGGATGGTCTCGAGTATCCGAGATGAAATATAATTAAATAATAATAGTTCATTATTTAAAGTTGTTGGTAAGATGTGGTACAACCAACTAAATTCTTCTTGAAGAAGTAAATTAAGAAATTCAAGGTAGAACCTTGTGTATAAGGATAATATACAAAATGATAATCTCGGTTAAACAAATTATGTGGTGAACACTATGTAAATGATTAAATAAGTTAGCTCATGCTTATAGACGGAGTAAGAATGAAACTAGTGGTTAAATACCAAGGAGTATTATCTCGACTTGTTGATCGAGCATCTCCTAGAAGAATTATTTTTTTTACCTAACAAATATACTTGAATTTCACAGATGTAAATTTGTAACACCAATGAATGTTAAATATTTAGAATTTGACAAAGATCCAAAGAACAAATGAGGATATTATAGGACCTGAAGTTCCAATGGACTTGAAGTCCACAAACAACATGAAGTTTAAGTATTAAGCGTAATTTCTAAATTTTTATCTCGCAAAATGCATCAGGCCTAATACTGCATTTGTGATGAATTTGCTAGCAAGATTTACTATATCTCTCCTTAAGGAGATATCGTGATAAATATTCAGAATATCCCATTATTTTTTTCATGTATATTGAGCTATCTTTGGACGTGATATATGATATTGGTGGATAAGGACATCAATTGTTTAATTAATCCCCGAAGTAATGGGTACTCAATTGGTTATATACCTCTCAACTGGTATTAACTCTTTACAATTGATTATTGAAGTTTCCCCATATTTATCCTGAAGATAAATTCGTTTGTGTTACACAAGTAAATTATGGAAATACATTTGATGATATTTTTTGAATCTATATTAACTCCGGAAGAGCAACAAATGACGATTTTATGTTAGAAACTCTTACCTTGATGGGAAGCAACCTATAATTATGAATGTAACTAAAAAGGTTTTCCCTTCAGGGGGAGCGATAAATAAATCTCGAATATCGGGCCCGGAAGGTTAATTATAATCATGAAAATTAGGCCCTGTTGGCCGGTGCTGCACTCTTTTTCCCTTGACTAAGTTTTTATCCCATTGAGTTTTACTTAGTGAGGTTTTTAAAGAGGCAGCATGTGTAACACATAAATTTGCATATGTTATGTACTCTTTTCCTCGATTGCTTTTTTTTACAGGGTTTTGCAGCGAGGTTTTTAACGAGACATAGACATGATGCTGTAATGTCCAAGAGGGAGTGTTGTAAATATTAATTTGTGGACATTACTTAGAAATAGAATTTGTAGGTATGGGACAGGAGCCCATTAAGTCTTTATTCATGTACATTGTATTCTCTTATATATTTAACAGCGTATCTTTTCCCTCTTTTTCTCTTCTACTCATTCCTCTCGTTGCCTCTTACACATGGACAATCTATACTACAACAAATTTACTATTTTTTGAGTTTTTGGAAAAAAAATGTAGGGCAAAATCATCTGAGGACGACGTAGTAACACGAGAGTAACACCTTTTAAAAAAAATTAGTTGTTAGTAGTTACTGCGCACGCTTTCACGAACTTCTTACGTTTTCTTTCCATTCAACTTCAGTGCTGTAGCTGTAGGATATAATAGGTCATTTGGGTCGAAGCACACGAAGCGAAGGGAGAGTGAAGCTTTTATACCACCTCCGCCCGCCGCCGTCCGGCCCCGCTAAGCCCGCCATTCACTTGCTGCCGAGACCGGTAAAGGTAATTAAGTTCTCTCCATCGCTATCTGTATTCTTATTATATCGAATTCTCGGACCAGTTTTATTACGAATACCGTTCAATTTCAGTACTATATATGTATTTCGTAAAACCGGACGACTAGCGCACAAGTTATCCAATCATATATCAATGACCTCGACTTGCGGGCGCGTTGTCTTTGAATTTCCCGCTTGACAATCTGTATCAGTATGTGCAGAGCCTTAGCTTGAGGGAAATTGATCCACCAAGCTGCTGGTTTGAAAGGCAAGGATTTGTTAAAAAGGGAGATAGGAACCGTCAATTCTCGTATGCTGACTGCTTGTTCGTCGAAGGCCGTATATCTGCTACGCTGGTAGCAGCTCTGCCGTGATGTGTTAAACTCCTGATAATAGAACGTCTTTAATACTTATAGCACCGTGATTTTTTTTTTTTTTTTTTTTTTTTTTTTTTTTTTTTTGTTGTTGTTTAAGTAGTACATTGCACACTCATCCAATTACTTTTGCCACTTGCTGTTGTTTTGTATGCACAGTTCAGCTACTCAGAGTTTTCTAAAGTTTATTACTATGGCCGCTGGTAAAGGTGGCAGCTCTTCTGCTTCTAGTGAGCATCATTTCTCTGTATAAATTACACGCATACATGATTTCCTTTTGAATTGTCATAACTTGAGATCATACATTTCATTTTTGCAGAGGGGAAGAAGAAAGAAGTGAAGAAAGAGACTGGTCTCGGTCTATCTTATAAGAAAGATGACAACTTTGGAGAATGGTACTCTGAGGTACGATTGCATATTTGCAACCAGCTGGTTTGTTCAATCGATGCTACTTTAACCTACTTCCATGTTTTTTCCTGTCGGTTGCTTATTGTGTGGATTCTTTAGTTAGCAGTTTAGTGTTTAGAGTGAGTTAAAATGTAACCGAATCAGCTGTATTATCAAAGAATCAGAAATTTGAGATTATGTGAATCTAATAAATTTCACTCATCATCCCTGTTCATATAGGTCGTCGTCAATGGGGAAATGATTGAGTACTATGACATATCTGGCTGTTACATTCTACGCCCATGGGCAATGTCCATTTGGGATGCCATGCAAGTAAGTGTTGTATAACTATTCCTTAGGAAACCTTATTGGCAATAGCGTTTCCTTTACTTATTTTCATATTGCAATTGTTTTTCCATGAAAATGCCTTTTGTTTCATAGTTAAAAATCTAAAATATTGTTGATTTATGTATAGAATGGCAAATTTAGATATGAGAATAAACCTGCATTTTTTTTTT